CTGTAGGTCTGACTGACTCAAGGAATGTTCTCGGCTATCAGATGTTATGGTTATAGGAAATTCTCGGCCAGGTGCAGTGCCTCATGCCTGTAATCCCAGCACGTTGGGAGGCCGAGATGGGCAAATCACTTGAGGTCAGGAGTTAAAGACCAGCCTGACCAATGTGGTAAAACCTCATCTCTACTAAAAATACAAAAATTAGCTGGGTGTGGTGGTGGCGCCTGCAATCCCAGCTACTCTGGAGGTTGAGGCAGGAGAATCGCTTGAAACTCTGGGGGGAATATTACAGTGGGTTGAGATTGCACCACTGCACTCGAGCCTGGGCAAAAGAGTGGAACTCCGTCTCAAAAGAAAGAAAGAAAAGAAAAACGAAATTCTCTTAATCAGTAAAACTTGCAGACGACAAACTCCTAGGACTGTGGTGAAGACTGAATTAAATAATAAGTGGGATGTGTCTACCCTAATCTGGCACATGGTATGCATTCAACAAATGTAGGAACACTTTTCATTTTTAAAAATTAAAAATAAGGGAAAATGAAAGATGGGTTGAAATGCTGATGAGATTTAGATTCCTAGCAAGGGCAGGGAAATCTCATTATAGAGCTGCTGGATTTTTATTATCTGTAAGTATAATGTCACACATCTACCAACCTTCACAAAACATAGCTACTATAATTGGAAAATACAGTGCATATCCAGGATTTGTGTTATAGCAGCACAAAAGCAGAGAGAGGCGGCTAGTTTTCCATAGATGATAAGATTAGCTTCCTCTCAGCCTTTAGAGTCTCAGCTGTAGAACCAGGTTGAATAATATTTTTAATGCAGACAATGTTTGTACTAGACAAAGTCAACTTAGCATTTCATAGGAGCTGGTCAAGTGTTCCCCTGCTCGGTGTTCTCTTTTTTCCTCTCTTTCACTGTTTAAATAAATTATAAAGAGAAGAATTTTAGCATGGAATGGCTACTAATCCATAACATGAAAGTCGTGTTTGGGAATATTTGTGTACTTGGCCTCATGTCCTCCAAAAACGGTCCTTTAAGAGAACTTTTCTACAAGTCATGTATTTCTTTTGTTTCTAAATTGCTTGCATTCATAATACAGACATGGTTTTTTAGTGAAACATACCCTTCTAGTATGTCTTTTTTTTAAGACAGAGTCTTGCTCTGTCACCCAGGCTGGAGTACAGTGGCATGATCTTGGCTCACTGCAACCTCCTGGGTTCAAGCGATTGTCCTGTCTCAGCCTCCTGAGTAGCTGGAACTACAGGCTTATGCCACCATGCCCGGCTAATTTTTGTATTTTTAGTAGAGATGGGGTTTCACCGTGTTGGCCAGGATGGTCTCCATCTTTGTTGTGAGGGTTGTGGCATCTGCCAGAATCTTACCCATCCTGTTGTATCTCTCAGTCAGGTAAGCACCTTCAAAGAGATTTCTCCTTCAGCTATTAGACTGTTTCCCATTGGAAAGTAATCTGCAAAAGAGAGATGGCGCCTGGGGTTTCTCTGACTGTGTTAAAATAATTGGGATGTGCTACATTAACATCTGCAAGAGACTCTTGGCCTTAGACTTTAGGTGATAGATCTTACAATTCCTCCCCACACACCCTGCCTCTAGGACTTACTTTCCCCCTCATTTGTTAATGCCCTACTATTATGGTATTGTATTCCATTCCATGGAGACCCTGGAATAATCTCTCAAACTCATCCATGCTTTCCTTGCATCAAAGCACTGCGTAGTTCTAGACAGTACATGGGAGTGCAGCAGAGGCTCATCTGGCTGAAAGTGGAGGGGACAAACAGTGACCTCCCTGTTCCACCTAGATACCAAGGAATCTTGACTTTGTCCTTGAAAAAAAACCCTTTGCTTTAATTCAAGGCCACCACACCTCCAAGCAGAGTATGGTGGCACCAGAGAAAAGTGGAGATCAGCACTTTCAAGGATTATATACACACACAAGCAGCTGAGACCTCTATGGGCATCCTCCTGAGCCTCCTGGAATCCTTCACACCACAAGGGGCAGAATCACTCTTTCTCGACACAGATGTCTTTACAGCCTTGCCCAATGAGTCTATCCCCAGCTTAACATCTCTCTTTTCTTTTTTTTTTTTTTTTGAGATGGAGTCTTATTCTGTTGCCAGGCTAGAGTGCAGTGGCACAATCTCAGATCACAGCAACCTCCAACTCCCTGGTTCAAGAGATTCTCCTGCTTCAGCCTCTCAAGTAGCTGAGATTACAGGCATGCATCACCATACCCAGCTAATTTTTGTATTTTTAGTAGAGACGGGGTTTCACCATGTTGGCCAGGCTGGTCTCAGTTTCCTGACCTCATGGTCTGCCCACCTTGGCCTCCCAAGGAGAGAAAAGGCAAAAGGGATGTTGGGGCCGGGCGTGGTGGCTCATGCCTTCCAAAGGATTACAGGCATGAGCCACCACGCCCGGCCCCAACATCCCTTTTGCCTTCTCTCTCAGGAGCAGCCACAGCTTTTTCCTCCAGACTGCTTTTACTCTGGCCTTCTCAGATGTTGTTTAAAAAGCTCCTCTCTGAATTTCCTCCTAGATCCCTCATATTTAGTAGTGAACTGTGCAGCAGCTGAACCAAAGACCCAAAGAGACAAGGATGCCCCTGAAACTAACATCTCCAACCTAACGAAATTATGATGAACCATTCAGAAGTCTTCACTGCCAGTCACAGGACACCCACTTTAAGAGGGACTATTCTCTCTTCTATGTGCAATTATAGTTTGTCCTTAGAAAATGACTCATCTCTGATGGAAGAAACCGCAGATGAGCCATGAGTTTTAAAAAGTTTTAAACGGCTGGGCATGGCGGCTCACACCTGTAATAATCCCAGCACTTTGGGAAGCCAAGGCAGCTGGATTTGAGACCAAGAGTTCAAGATCAGCCTGGGCAACGTGATGAAACCCTGTCTCAACAAAAAAATACAAAAATTAGCCAGACATGGTGGCATGACCATGTGGTCACAGCTACTGGAGAAGTTGAGATGGGAGGATCACTTGAGCCCAGGAGGTCAAGGCTGCAGTGAGCTGAGATCGCACCACTGCACTCCAGCCTGAATAACAGAGTGAGACCCTGTCTCAAAAAAAAAAAAAAAAAAAGTTAGACTAGGTTTACAATGGACTAGTTTTAATCATTTTTGAAATTCTAAGAGGTAGATACATAATTCTTATTTTTTTAGCATATGTCTTAGATTCTGGGTACAACCAAGAGAAACTATTCCAGCTCTTTTGTTTTGAAACCAAACTTGCTAGGATTCTGATTGTCAATAAACAGAATCAATCCTGTGGCCGTGAACTTGTATTTGAGACATGCTTGAAACAAAGTCTGGGTCTACTGATGAAACAGCTCATAAACATTTTCCCTGGAGAACCAACTTGAGAAACCCCATTCCTTCTTGTCCTCTTTTCCTTGCATTCTCTTTCGCTTTCTCTCACCCGTCACCTAACAGAGTAAAGATCAAGACTGCTTGAATAGGTTCAAAGGGTAAAACTAACTAAAAGAAAGGGAAATTGGGTTTCCTGTGAAATGTGCTGCTGCTTTTCTGATTTTGCCATGTGGCACCGATTCTGGAGGCCGAAATAGAAACAAACTCTTCTGGATGGTGTACCTTTACCAAGACTCTAGAGCTGGCTCTCCAAAGGGAAGAGGCACTTCAAGTTGGAGAGACATTTTTTAGCCATTTGGAGACGGGAGTCTTCCTCATGGTCAAGGGGAAGTATCAAATCACTTTTTCGGAGTTTGCATGCTGCCCTCTCCTGGCCTGTATAGACATCAAATGTATTTCTTTTAATTCCACACCTGTGTGTGAGATACCTAAGAAAACATGAGAGTTTATTTAAAATATTCAGGATGTCTCATCAAAAATGTATACTTGAAGCCAATTAGAGGAAATAAATTCGTTTTCCTTTGGCTCCTGGATTTATACTGAAGCATGTCAATCTTTTGTTTTTTGTTTTTTGTTTTTTTGATTGAGTCTCTCTCTGTCGCCCAGGCTGGAGTGCAATGGTGTGATCTTGCCTCACCGCAACCTCTGCCTCCTGGGTTCAAGCAATTCTCCTGCCTCAGCCTCCTGATTAGCTGGGACTACAGGCACTTGCCACCAAGCACAGCTAATTTTGTATGTTTAGTAGACATGGGGTTTCACCGTGTTGACCAGGATGGTAGAACGGCAGTCGTTCTATCATTTTGCTTTATACCCTGTGGCTACCACCCTCTCACTTTCCATCCTTTTAACTTTTATGTGGCTCTGGGACTCTGTTCTGAAAATCAGTGCTCCAGTACCGTCTGGGTCCCATCAACATGCTGGCCACTTAAAGACATCTTTCCAACTAGAAGTGGTGGCAATGGGAAATTTACTGAAGTCATTGGTCAGTGTTGAGTCTGAGGACCATATTTTAGCCTGACATGTGATCCAAATTAATTCTATATATTATTAGGTCTATTATACCTAACATTATTAGAAACGAACTATCAAGAAGCAGCTAATCCAAGAATTAGATGGCATCATAGGTCTAATTTCTAGTTGAACACCTTATCCTTCAAAATGATTTGTCTTTTTTGTGGGTGTCGTGTGTGACCCGTTTTAATCCCAATGCTGGGCACATTTTCCCTGGTTGAAATAATTCTTTTTCTTCCCCTCAATATTTAAAGGACCCTGATACTGAGCACATGTCTGCAACCTGGCACATCACACAGGGGAGATTGCTGTAGCAACACCGAAGTGCAAATGTGGCTGAACTAATCTGTTGTGCGCCTGTGCCTTTGCCGTCCCTGTCCCTCGGTGTCTGCCTTTGACCCAGACAGACAGGCCAATCCTCTCCATATCAATGAGAACTGAGAGTCTAATACGATTCCTTTGCATTTGAAAAAGAGGTGTTTACTTTAGAGAGATTTAAAGGCATGTACCTTGTTTAAACTTTACCAAATGTATAACTGGAGGGAATGTGAAGCTCTGGCTGGCTCTACTAAGATTCGCAGAGAATGCTCGCTTGGGCAGTGCATATACAAAAACTGGAACAGTACAGAGAAGATCAGCACAGCCCCTGCGCAAAGATGACAGGCAAATTCAGGAAGCGTTCCATATTCAAAAAAAACTCAAGAGGTGCTTTTAGAAGAAAAGATACAAAAAAGAAGAAAAAAGAGAATGACTGTTGATTACCTCTCTCAATGAAAAACGATAGCACAAAGCAATGGATAATCACAGCATTATTTATATCTACCTTTGAAAAGCCATCAGTGTCTCCTAGTCTATACAAAGTGAATATAATCAGTCTCACACTCACAAAGTTGCTACCAACATGCCCAACATTACTTTAGAGTTTGAAAATTAAGAGGGAAATATGTCCCAATTTATTGCAGCTCTTTTATTTATAGAAGATTGACAGATGCTCACAATCATACAAAACAATCCTTAACTACTAATAGAATTTGGTTGGGTCGATTAATTTATTTGAACAGCTAAATTCTTTAGTTTCTTTCTGATGTAAAAGGAAAAAATTCATCTATAAAATCAAAATGCCTTCTCCTATATATAGTATTCACTTGCCATGCCTATACTTTGACCCAATTTCAAAACAAAAAACTATTAAATCATTCAGATCAATCAATGCACAAAAACTATGAAGTTTCTGACTCCATGTAGAACTAAGCATGCATTTTCTTTAATGAAAGAAAGAACACGTTCATCTGATAGAAAAAACAACAAACAAACAAAAAAAGGTCAATATAAATTCTCCACTGTGATATACAACACAAATACCTTTCTTATAACTTCCTTATCCTCCTTGGTCAGGCACCTGCCTTGGGACAAGGACTACCTTGAAAACTAGGCACTACTGAATGTTGAGTTGATTGTGAATTATCGGTGGGTAAATAGCCTTCTTCCACCGGGAAGAGGGCTATTTAGACGAAAGGTAACGTATGTGATTGCCCCTGCACCTGCTGCAGAGCCATTCCCTAGCTGAACTGGAGTCCCAGTCTTTTCCACTGCAGAAAAAGCGCTTTTCATAGGGATTCAGAGCCACATGAATACCAGCCGGCACTTGAAGACTGCAAAGCAAGACCAATCTTTTAACCGAGACTTCGTGCAGTTCCCTCCGGCTTTTCCCGGGAAGGACTGAACTCATTAAGCAATGCTAATTTAATCACGAGTAATCAACAGCAGGGGAAAGTTACATAACCATCTTTAAAATTTCAAATCAAATGTGATAAAATCTCAGGAAATAGATTTTTTTTTTAACAAAACTCACACCTTGAAATGAAAAAAGAGAGAAAAAGGTAGAAGTCTGAGTTTTAGGATGAAACCAAATGAAATAAAAAATCAGTATTATCTTACAAATATCACATCTACTAGATGGTTATAATTAATGAATTTTTAATATAGCAAACATAAGATCCTGAAACTGATCATGCCTGGCATGTAGAACACAAATGCACTTTTAAGCTCGTAAGACAATGTAGAAATAAATCAGGTACACAGGAAGGATCACTGACAATCACATTAAAAAACATCTACCTCCCTTCTCTCTTTTTTTCCTTCAACCACAGCATAGTGATATAGTGATATTTCACTCATGAGGTTAGCGCACCTTGGCCATATGCTTTTAAAACCAAAACTATGCCGAAGTCCACAGTGGTTCCTATTCCTCTAGGGAGAATATCAACCTATAGGTAGGTTTGGAAATGTTCATAGCCTGCTTTCTAACCATCAGATGGTGTTTGACTCCCCATGGTCATAATTAGAATGGCGGTCACCGAGAGGTATTTATTGGTTGCAATGACAACATATTGGTATTGAGGTTATTTAAAAGAGAAAGAGAGATCACGGTCAAGTTTGAAGGTCCTTACTTTCCACCCACGCATAAGTCAATAGGTGAATAAACCTCGTGGCCCCCAAGCACACGCCAACAGCTTTAATTCCCCGGAGTGAAGCAGGCGAGACGCTCGCTCCGTGCTTTCTACCCCGGCCAGCCACGGAACAACAATGTCAATTTCATCCTAAGTGCCTTGTGAAGGCAGAAATCAGAAACCGTGTCTGTGTCACATTAGCCGTGACAAGCCGCGTACCTGCAATGACGTGATGGAAGCCTCCTCCTCGAGTCCCTTCTCTCTCTCTCTCTCTCTCCCTCTCCCTCTGCCTCCTCTGAGCTCTATAGTCCACAGCTGGGTCTAAGTTTGGCCTCCCGCTGCCGCTTTCCGTTCGACCGCAGCCGGACTGCAGCAGACGCCCATAAGAGAAGCGCGCCGGCTGGGGGTGCAGGAGAGGCGAGAGCGCGCCCCGCGCCGCGCGGTCCCAGGCTGGCTGCTCCTGCAGATGTGAGAGGAGCCCGGAGACTTAGCTCTGAATCCTCTCGGCGCTGCATGGGGATATTATCACAGTCTGGGATTTCTATTGGCTCTGAACACCAAACAAATCACACCAGCCACCCCCCTTCTCTGTTTCACTCAGCGCTTGTTTCTCATCTAACCCACAAACATTGCAGCCACACACACTTCAGTCGCTTGCAATGTTTCTCTTTTCCTCCTTCCAGTCAGTGGATTTACAACCCTGTGGTCAGCTCTAACATTTTTTTTAGCAAACTTCCAATGCTAACCTTCTTGTTTATGTAGAGAAATTCTCCCTCCATCCCTTAAACCGGAAAAAGAAAGAAAGAAAACATTCATTCCCTTCAGATCTTCTTCCTTTTGTTGATGGGTTTGCAATGTGACGAATGTAGAAAGCCTGTTTGTGATATGTCTGGCATTCTCACACACGCACATACACGTGCTCTTACACACACACACAAACACACACACACACACACACACACCAGGCTCCTTTTTGTTTGGAGTAATTGAAGCCAGTGAAATAAAAAGCAAGTTGAGCCTAATAACCTCAGTGAGAGCTTAACTAATAAAATCTTGAATGAATTCACTGCAAAACACCAATTGCTTGAGTTTGTTTTCTGTTCCAAATAGTACTTCGGTCATTATTATCCTGATTTTTGTTTACTGAATGCAGAGGTTTCTAATGCAAATCAGACTCTTCAACATCCAGAGAACATAAAACAGTGACGCCAGACCAATTCTTGTGCTCCATGGACTTGGTGTGGTATATCAGAAGTGTATTGTCACGCCTGTATGCTTTCTCTTTTTATTATTTTTTGAACTTCTCACCGCTGATCATCTCAGGACTGAGACTCTCAGTGTGATTCAGTAGCCAAAGGAGACTATTCAGACTCTGCTGATAGAGGTTCCTGGATGAAAATTTTTAGTCTGTATGTGTCAATAGAGATAAACCTTTGGCCCCTTGGGAGGGAAGGGGCCCAAGAAAAATCTGAGATCTTACAAACTTGGCTGGGAAAATTCAGAATAAAATAAAGTTTCACTGTGTCTTATAAAAGAGACCCGCCTTTAGACTTTTCCCCAAAATCAATTTCACTGGTGCTTATGGAAATTTTAATGACAGTTATTCTTGACAAGAAGCCATTGCTTCTGAAATCACTGAGCTCTGTTTGGATTTTTGACTTTAAATTTTTTTTTGCTGTGTTATCCCTTTCGTATACTATTTCTTACTTGATATTCCAGCTCCAACTCAACTCTCAGCATGTTGTGTTGCAAATTAACAGGAAATAACAATTAATTCTTGAAATATATCATCACCAAGCAGACTACCTGCCTTCTTTTCTTACGTGGGCACATTCCAGGAATTGTGAAATACAGCCTTATTTTCAGAATGGGCCAGCCTGAAATCAGCTGAAATTGACAAAGGAAATACAAAACAAAACCACATTTGGCTGTTGGTTCCTGCTAACCATAGTCTAACCTCAAATGGCATATCCTTATTACTTTAACAACTCCAGTTCATTCCCCTTCTTTAAGTAGGCAGTTTAAAAAAATAATACTGTCATAAATCTTTGAATGTGTAGAGTATATTTCTCCTAAAGATCTCAACAGTCTCAGAAGGAAAGGAGTCATAAGTAGGATACTCCAGATTCTCCAAGTGGAGAAACAAAGTGGGAGAATGATAAAGTGACTTGCTGAAGGCAGAGCGCAAATAGAGCAGGGAGAGTGGATGACTGCCCTATTTGTTTCATACAAACTATTCGACTGAAAGGAAAGCAAAGGGTTAACACAGCAGACTCTCATTCCTGCCTGCCTTTGCACACAAGAGCTAACAATTCATGAAATGATAACAACTTGGTAAATAGTAATTTCACATGTTATTTCAGAACAGTCATGATATTTTCAGATAAGTCACCAATAATTTGCCTTAGAATTGCCTTTCTAGAAAAGAGAAAAACAGTGACTGACAAAAACGATGAGCGGATCATGATATTTCCTGCTTGTTATTTTCAGGGCTTATTATAGCTCTTAATATCCCTGGAAAGACAGTGTAAGTAAAATCATGGATGACTTAAAGTCATAGATATATCTTAAACTTCATTTTAGATAATAATTCAAGCCCTCTGTCCTTCAATTAATGAAGAGCAAAACTGGATGATTTAAAAGACATCTCCTCTACCCAATCAGTTGTGTGGTTAAGGGAAAATAAATCATCAGTATTTATTCTTCTACATTTAGTCTTCTGGTCATTTTGCTACCTTTAAAAGAGTTTTCAAAGACATTTCTTAAATCCTTTATAAATGACACAGACGTTGGTAATAATAAAAACACTTGCATCTCATCATACACAGCAAGTGGACAGCCACACATATTCATGACAGGACATCATTTTCTTTTCCACTTAATCACCCACATCAGGATCATCCTGCTTAGTTCAGTGTGGCACTTTTTATGGGAGACATTCACAAATTGGCATGTATCCAGAGGAGTTGATAAGACGATGATTCTGAATATTTTCATTTATAAGAGATGCAAGACAGAATCGGGCATCTTGTCTTGGAGCAGGGACTGAGGTGAAAATGATAACGTTTTCAAATAGTAAATGCAACAGAATAATGTTTAATTCCTCCTAAAAGGAGGAATGAAAATGATAAGTAATGATTAACTTAATGAATAAGTTAAAAAGAGAGATGAATAATATGTTTATTATTCATATAATGCTTAAAATGTATTGTCATTTTTATAAATATTTTCTTTCTTGACTTTTTGAAACAACTCTGTGAGGAATATAGGATAAATGCTACTGGACTACTTGCATAGATTAAAGAAGTTTCTATAGTAAAATCACCCTGATGTAGTCTAGGTATGCTGCCAGAGGATGGGAATAAGTTGAAATGGATTCTAAACCCAGTGCTGTTCTGGAGAGAAAATAAGGGTGGACAAAAATCAGGATAGCGAAAGACCTCTCAAAATTAAAGCTTTTGGAAATTGAAAGAATTTCCTGGCAAAGTGATGATTTGGAGATTTTGATATAGGTCACGGAAGTGGTCAAGAGAAAGGCCCAAAATCCTTTGGAGAGATTATGAAGGCATTGTTATAAAGGTCAGACTAGATAACCTAGGGTTTGCTTCAGCTCAAAATCAACTTTGATGCTATTATTGGCCTTTAAAATATTATGGAATAATTTATACTGTTATTGAATAATTTTCAGAGTACGTCATTAAATTTTTAAAAAGATTATAATTATGGCCGGGCGCGGTGGCTCAAGTCTGTAATCCCAGCACTTTGGGAGGCCGAGGCAGGTAGATCACGAGGTCAAGAGATCGAGACCATCCTGGTCAACATGGTGAAACCCCGTCTCTACTAAAATTACAAAAATAATTAGCTGGGCACGGTGGTGCGTGCCTGTATTCCCAGCTACTCAGGAGGTTGAGGCAGAAGAATTGCCTGAACCCAGGAGGCGGAGGTTGCGGTGAGCCGAGATCATGCCATTGCACTCCAGCCTGGGTAACAAGAGAGAAACTCCGACTCAAAAAAAAAAAATTATAATTATGATCTATGTGTATTTTTGAACTATAGATGACTACAGATGGTCTTTTACCCTTCTTTTGACATATCTGTGTGTTCTATAATGAATATGTATAATTTATAAGTAAAAAAGAAAAAATAGAAGAGCTTATAATTCTTCCTCTACTATACAAAGATACAAGATTTCCATATGACTAGTTTACTGAAGACTGACATTGCATTCTCAGTGTGATAAGCACAAGATCACATACTTGATATTGTCTGCACTTACTCATTTGTTTTCTTTCTAACCTAGGTTGGACGACATTCTAATGCTAATGTTTTCCCCTTGGTTATCTCTTTATTTATCTTAACAGCTTCCTTTTAACCTACGAATTTATTGATAAATCCATAAATGTTTGTTTTGTCCTTTTATATCTATATTTCTTTCTTAGATTATCAGAGTTTGCATTTTTAATTGTTACAATGATTTTGATGCACAAAGTTTGCGAATTCTTCAGTTTACTGGTTATTAAATATTTATTCCTCCATCATATAAAAATCTTTATTTCCTAGAAAGTCATAAACTTTATTAATGCTGTATATTTACATCAAAACCTCAAAGTGATTCACCGATATGTATAAATCTACACTCTGATGTTTCACAAATTTCAACTGTTCACATGTATTAAATAACAATAATCCCTCTGTGTCACAGCAATTCTACCTAGAATATATGCGTGATTTATAAGAGTTTTATAGCAAAGCATATAGCTGTCACTGTGTGGCAGAATGAACTCCTTGTCCATGAGAGTGCCATCTGTCATGTTTGTGTCACCCCGGTGCAGCAGAGAGCACACCCCACAGATGAGCTGTGGAAATTAACAGAAAAGGGAATGACCATGTATTCAGCTCAATCCCTATATTTTCCCTTAAGACCCAGGGAGCAGCTGGTTGTGGGTTTTTTGATTCATTAGCCCATGCTTATTAGATGTCCGCAAGGCCTCTGCGCTGCACTTTTAGTTCTGAGATATGGATGGGAAGAGGTGAAGAGGGCAAAATAAGAGTGAGGAGAAGGCAGAGCCACTGTGACCTGTGTGTGCTTATGACATAATCGAAGCGGTGAATGCAGGAAATGGTTAAAATAAGATTCAGGTTGACAAATGTAGCTGAAGGAATGGCCAGAATGGCTTTTTCGTGGCACCTGCCACTTCCATAACTCTTTCCCAAACCGGATAGCCCAGATGAGGAAGGAGACCTAGATAGTTTAGTAGTATCGCGTTCATCTGCCCCTACGGCGACAGATACCAGGCTAGGAGAGCACATTAGACTCAAGGAGCCAATCTGCCACCCATGCAGAGATAATGGTAGTTGGCTGTTGATCAGATTTCCTTTTTGGAGGAGCTTCAACTAGGGCTATCTATCATCTATCTATCTATCATCTATCATCTATCTATCTATCATCTATCTATCTATTATCTATCTATCAATCATCTATCTATCATCTATCTATTATCTATCATCTATCTATCTATCATTTATCTATCTATCATCTAGCTGTCTATCATCTATCTATCATCTATCTATCTATTATCTATCTATCAATCATCTATCTATCATCTA